TTAAGTGCTTACTACATGTCAAGCACTGTGCCAGACACTAAGAAAGCAAAAACAAAAGTGAAACACTCACAGGTCTCAAGAAGTTTATGACCAATTGTGGGAGATGAGATGTACACAGATATGTATATATACATATACATATATATATATATATATACAAAATATGTAAAATTCAAATACAAGGTAACCTGAGAGGAGCCCTAGTAGCTGAAGGGATCAGGCCAGACCTTACAAAAGCCTTCATGAAGATGTTTAGTTTTGACAGAAACCGGGGATTATAAGAGGCATCGGTGAGGAGAAAATGCATTCCAGGAATCGGAGATATTGGTACAAAAGTACAGAAATAGGAGACATAGTATCATGTATGAGAAATGGCAAAAAAGTCAGTCTGACTGGACCACAGAGTGAATAAAAGGAGTGATGTGAAATAAGGCTGGAAAGGTAGATAAACAGCATGTTGTGAAAGGCATTGAATGCCTACGGGAAAAAAAAGTTTATATTTTGATCACAGAGGTACTAGACAGCCACTGGAGTTTCTTGAGTGGGGAGGGGGGTGGGGGGAGATAGTGAAATAGTCAGACCTATGCTTTACAGAAATGACTTGGACAGCTATGTGAAGGATGGATTAGGGTGGGGAGACACATTTGTAATGAAAGTATGGTCCATAGTCTATTATTCAAGAAAATAAAAAAAGAGTTAGAAGAGTTTTTTATGTCCTAAGGAAAAAAAAGAAACATCAACTTATGGGATATTTGATATGTTTCTTTGCAATGCTCATGATGAGCAAAAAACAAAAAGAAGAAAATTTTTGTTTATATGCCAACACATGTTGCAAGAGATTAAAAAAAGAGAAATTAAAAGAACTTTATAGGACCCTCCAAATTAAATCAATATAACTTTTAATACTCAGTGACCACCCTGAAAAAGTAAGCAAAGGAAGAAGGCAAAAAAAAAAAGAGTTGGAAAATATGACAAGGGATTGATACTCAAAAGAAGTCAAAGGTTTGTAGACTACACAGAAGGCTCCTGTCTATATAGCACAAATACTTTCTAAAAAGTCAAGAGCCATTAAATATGGTGAACACCAAATAAAATCAGTTTTAAAAGAGAGAAATTCACTATATCTAAATGAAAAGTTAACAGCTGATTACCAGGGAGTGAAACATTTCTGTATCGCTGTTAAATAAGAAGGATAAAGATGAAAAGATATGGTATGAAATTAAAATAGGTCCACCTGACTCATTTAAACAAGCTATTAAAGCCACATGTCTTTATACCATGAATGTATACCAGAAGAGAGGAGAAAGGCCCTGGATATGGCTAGCACCAAACACAAGAAATAAAGTTGACCGTAACTTAACAGACATGAAATGACTTGTTAGTGATGTAGGAATAGCGTGATAATCAATTCTCTATGCATAGTTAGACCATCAAATAAGTCAAATTCCATGGCCAATGTTTTTTGAAAGATAAACATTTAATGCAACAAATCAATTCAGCAAAGATTTATTAAGTCCTTCCTATGTGACTGGCACTGTGCTAGGTGCCAAGGATACATAGACGGAAACAAAACACCTCCTGTTTTTTCAGCTACATTTTACTGAAGAAAATAATAATATTAATAATAAATAGAATTTATAGAATGCTTTAAGGTTTGCAACATGCATTACAAATATTATCCTGGTACCCTCACAACACCTCTTGGAAGTAGGTGCTATTATTATCCTTATTTTATAGATAAGGAAATTGAGACAGGTAATGGTTAGGTGACTTATCCAGGGTCACACAGCTATTACGTGCCTAAGACCAGATTTGAACTCATCTTCCTGATTCCGGGACTAGCATTCTATTCATTGCACCCCTTAGCTGCTTCCTGAGGGTATACAACGTGTACCCAAATTAGTATAGTACAAGAAAAATTGAAGACAGAATACTAAATATTGGTAGCAGAAAGGCAATCAAGGGAGGTTTGTGTAGAAGGTAGCACCTAAGCTCTGGGAACAGCTAATGATTCAGTCTGGCTGTAACAAAGTATACATAAGTAGGAGTAGTATGGGAAAGGACTGGAAAGGCAGGCAGAAGCCAGATTATGGAGGGCATTAAATGAGGGCCAATGAATTTTGTATTTTATAGTAAAGGCAAAGGGAAACCATTGAGGGATTTTGAACAGAGGAGTGATATCAAAGATCACCACTTTTAGATTATTTTGGCAGTTGTGTGGAAGATGGTTTCCAGAGGGCAAAGAATGAAAGAGGGGTCAATACCAAGAGCTTACTTACTGTGTTCAGGTAAGAGACAATAGGACCTAAACTAAGGAGGTGGCTATGTGAAGGGAGAAAAGGGTATATGAAGTGATGTGGAGGTGAAATCAGTAAGACTTGCAACTAATTGGATCTGTGAAAGTGAAAAAAAATGTAATATTCAAGAATGTCTCCAAGGTTATAAACCTGGATGTCTGAGTTATTTCTAGAAATATCCATCCTTGGTCTTCCACAATTAATCAAACAAGTAAACAAAACAGGAACCCCATCTGTTGATGTATATAGTATTCTGCCCTAAGACTTCCCTAATTCTCTGCCAAGAGAAGATTATTATTAGTTTTTCATTCATTCTGATTTAATCTTCCTTTTAGTTATATTTCAATAACTGATTTAGTCATTGTGAATTTTATTTTTCTGGTTTGGCTTCTATCATTTCTGCATCAATTCATACAAATCTCATATTTGTCTGAATTTTTCACATTCTTCCTTTTCTTTTGTTTTTATTGGACCTGTGATTTTATTGGTATAGGGAACTACCAGTGAGGAGACTCCCTCTACCAATGATTATCATCATCTTCTCTGTAACTTATGGTCTTAGCAAATTGCTTAGGTCACTGAAAAATTAAGTGACTTGCCCAGCATCACACAGTCAGCATGAGACAGAAGTGGGACAGAGGTAGGATTGCCTCTGAGGCTAGTTGTCCATCCATTATCTCATGCTGATTTGTCATTTCTTACTCTAAAACAATATTGCGTACATATAATAATCAAATAATCAAAAAGCATTTATTAGGCACTTATTATGTTCCAGGCACTGTGCTAAATCCCAGGGACACAAAAAGAGGCAAAAGATGTTCCCTGCCCTCAAGAAGTTCACAATCTAATATACTACAGTTTGTGCAGCCATTCCTCAGATAATTAGCATCTACTTTCTTTCTAGTTCTTTTCTAATTAAAAATGTGCTTCTATGAATATTTTGCTATGTATTAGACATTTATTTCTGTCTTTGCCCTCTTTGCAGAATAGGCACACAAGTCACATCCAGGTCTCTCGGCTCTGTGTGTATGTATGTGTGTTTATATGTGTGTATGTATGTGTATGTGTAGGTATGTGTATATGTGTATGTACATATTCATTCTGTTATTTATGTTCTTCCTATCAAATAACTCTACCACTTGGCTAAGGGTCCCTGGGTAGTAAGGGTCCCTGCCTACAGGCAGGCTTACGCATGGACAGAAAATGTCTAGGAAAAGATTTTGTGTCACTATAGCACAAAAGTAGGTAGTCAACTCTTCAGCATTGAGGCTGGCATGTGCAGGAAGTTATGTTTGATGGTAGTATCAAGTGTAACTGTAAATCTTCCACTCATTTTCTCTCTCTCTCATTTGAATGTATTAATATCTGCGGCAGAAGGCCTTTGCCAGGCTTTTGTTAACATCATTGCAAATTTCTGGTAGTTACAGTGTAAATACATTTCAGAGAGCAGCTCTCGCTTTCTTAGACCCCCAGGAAAGGCGGTCTCTGCTCCACTGGGTCTTGGTCACTCATCCCTGTTCAAAAAGAGAATGTCAGTGACAAGATGTGAATCAATAAGCTGGCATCCTCCAGAACTGGCATTTATCTTCCACAGGCTCTAGGGAAAATCGCAAAATAACCACCACTGTCCCCACCACTACCACAACCATCACAGATGAAAAAGACTGAATGACTGTTTCTTCACTCCCAGCCTTGTAGGAAGCATTCCCTCTTGACTCACAGCATAGCTGAAACCACAGGATCATCAGTGAGACTCCTGGGACATTCTCCATTCTTTCTCCCATCCAGATGGAAAACTCTGTTCTGGCTCCTGGCTTATGAATAGAGCCTTCCAAGTCAAAGAAATTATCTTTCTTTTCTGAGTGTTCTGCTATTTCTATGAAGACAAGCTTTTATCAAACTGCTGCCAACCAAAGAAAGGCAGTATCCACTCCCTTTGTGTCATATACAACCACATTCATTTTATCCAGTCCCGAGTCAGCCCTTCTCAGTCTCTGAAGGGAAATGGAAACACTGCCATCTTGTGACAATACCTTAGGTTGCGAACTGCTCCAGTTTTCAGGAATAGCCATGTATTTCATTATAAAATCGCATGCGTTGCAGAAGTGGGTTGTCAAGTTAGAATTCAAAGTGAATAATGAGTCTTCCTATGATTCTGAAGATTTTTCAAAGTTTTTTCATTCCCCCTTTACCCCAGCTAACTTCTCATCTGCTCCACATCTCAGACTGTATTGTTTCTCAGGGGCTACAAAGGCCCTATGTAAAAGAGAATTATTCTTCCTATACTTCCCTTTTGCAAATAAGTAATTCAGCCTGTGGTATGCACATCCCCAAAGGCAGACAAGTTATTAGTTTTTACTTCAAAGTCCTTCATTTCAGGATCCCGCTGGACTGGTATCAATAGAAACTCTGTTTAGGTCGAAATCCTACTTGACTAACAGAGTAGGTTAGATCTCAGTTTATTGAGAATCATTACCAACTTTGGACTAAGATCTTGGCACTAGAGGACCTGCAATGGAGGTAATTCACATCCATCAGAGATTCTAATAATATTGATTAGATATTCTGAATCTCAGGAAACCAAAGATAATAGAAAGCTTAAGTTTCTAGCTATTTGGAAATTGGGCATTGAATGATTGTGGCACCTAGAAGATGTCTCCCAGATGTTGAAATGAGACTACAGAATTGGTACTGATTGCACGTTCAGTCAATCCCTGAGAATCCAATCACCGCAGTCACCATAGGCTGATGCTGTTCAGTCTGGGAACCATAAAATATAGAATTAAGAAGTTACAGAGAGCATGTACCCAAAGGGCGGTGGTCACAGATTTCAGGGAGCCAGAGACGGTAAAGGACCTGCACCATGATAGTTTCATATCTATCAGAGATTTTGAGTTTATGCACCAGAAATGCAGACTCTCAGGGAACCATTGGTATTAGGGAGATTTTGCTTTCAGAGAATCAGAGGAGGGAAATCACATGCTTCCACATGTGAAGTATCTTCTAGGTCAGGCATGCACAACCTGCCCATAAGCTGCAAACCTGTTCTAGGTATATCTCATGTTCCTACTTGGGATAAGATTTTGAACAAAGGACTGAGGATGAGTTGAGTGCCCTAGGCAAATATTTACTGACCCAGATACCTATACAGAATACCCTATAACCTCTGCCTACCAGATATACTGCCCCCTCCCAGATACCTACTGTGGAGAGCAACAAATCGTAGAAGCTAACACCAGTGCTATAGCACCACTGTCATGCTTATTCATCACTGTAACCTAAATGATGAAAGCCCTGATCACCTCGTCCTTTCCTTCTTCCACCTTATGGTTGGAAAACTCCAACTCCTTGTCAAATATAGAGTCATTTTATGCTGAAGGGAAAGTCTTTCTGCCTGATACTCCCCCACACCTTAACTCTACACCTCCAAATCCAATATTCTCATCTGCCTTACTATGCCATTGTGACCTCTAGAATGCTCCACTATTTTTAATAAACTCCCTTTTATTCTAGATTTCCTTATCTCATTCTTTCTGTTTGATGCTCATAAAACCTGAGTCCCTCTAAAAGATAGTGCATCATCATATTGGCCACTCTAACCAATAAGGAGTGCTTCTTCTATCATGCTCCATGATATCGATCCAACTCAAAGATAATCCCATCACCCACCTTCTCCAATACTACTCAAGTGCTAAAATAAGTCATGCAATCATGCTACCTGGGTCAGTATAAGAAGTGTACATACTCATTGTTCTTCACTGCCACTTCCAGACTGTCACACCTTTGCAACCATCATTCAACATATTCTCCCCTGTTGAGTTCAACTCTATCTGTCCATATCAGTTGGCCTAGATTCTTGTTGAGAACATCTGCCAGTCATTGTCATTATTCCTTCTTCCTGAAAGAGTAGAATATTTCAGAGTTTTCTGAATTACACATTTATATCTCTTTAAACCACCTGGTTTCCTCATGGCAATTAGGAGCAAGAAAATCCCTTTTTTTCTCCTGGACCAAAACATTAAGGGGCATAAAAGAAAGTGTACCTAGCACTGTAGAGAATGACCAGGAATACAGTGTCATCTGAGAAGAAGTTATTCTAGGGGCCATGTAATTCTCCTTTGCTTTCTGGTATTTTCCAGATTTTAATTTTAGTTCTTTTCCAAGAAGAGTAGTTTTCCCCAATTCTGTCCACATTTTCTTCATATAGAATGCCTTTCTCTCTTTTTTATTAATAAATTTATTTATTTATAGTTTTCAACATTTATTTCCACAAGATTTTGAGTTCCAAATTTTCACACTATCTCAGCCCTCCCCTGACCCCAAGATGGCATGCATTCTGAATACCCCTTCGCCTAGTCTGTTTTCCCTGCTATCTCTCCCCTCCTTCTCTTATCCCCTTCCCCTTCTATTTTCCTGTAGGGCAGGATAGATTTCTGTACCCCATTTCCTGTATTTCTTATTTCCCAGTTGCATGTGAAAACATTTTTTTTAAACATGTGTTTTTAAAACTTTGGGTTCCAAATTTTCTTCCTTCTTCCCTCCCCACCCACCCTTATTGAAAAGGCAAGCAACTCAATATAGGTTATACATGTGCAGTTATGCAAAACACTTCCATAGTAGACATGCTGTGAAAAACTAACTCTATTTCCCTTAATGCTATCCTGGCCCCCCATTTATTCTATTCTTTCTTCTGGCTCTGTCTGTCCTCAGGGATTACCCCCTTTCCCAATCTGCCCTCCTCTCGATCATCCCCCTACTCTCTTGTCCCCTTCCCCCCCTATTTTCCTGTAGGGGAAGACAGATTTCCATACCCAATTGAGTGTGTATGTTATTCCCTCCTTAAGTCAAATCCTATGAGAATAAGATTCACTCATTCCCTCTCACCTTCCCCCGTTTCCCCTCCACTGTAAGAGTCTTTTCTTTTCTGTTTTTTTTGTGACATAATTTACCCCATTCTACCTCTCCCTTTCTCCTTCTCCTAGTATAATCCTCTCTCATCCCTTAATTTTATTCTCCAGATATGACCCCTTCATCTTCAACTCACCCTGTGTTCTCTATCTATCTATTTATCTATCTATTTATATCTATATCTATCTATATATACGTATATATATATGCATACATATAATTTTTTCCCCCCAACTACCCTAACACTGACAAAGGTCTCATGAGTTACAAATATCACCTTTCCATGTAGGAATGTAAACAGTTCAACCTTAATAAGTCTCTTATGATTTCTCTTTCCTGTTTACCTCTTCATGTTCCACTTGAATCTTGTATTTGAAGGTCAAATTTTCTATTCAGCTCTGGTCTTTTCATCAAGTGTTGCCAGCAACTGAGAATCACACCTGATGGGAGAGCATCAACTGAAGAAACATGGGCCAGCCGGGTCAGCCAAGACTGAACCGTTTATTCATCTGAGGGTCACCGCATATATAGGAAAAAGTTTGGAACTTCAAAGGATCCCTTGTGTGGGAAAACTATGCATATTCTGTAACTGTTACTGATAACTTTCAAAGTTCAGAGCTCGGTAAAAAAATGCTTTCAGGACATACATCAAAGGAGCATACAATAAAAGTGTCAAGAAAAAAGGATTACATCATTTTAAACAAATGGTTACAAGATAGAGATTAACAGTCAATTAACAGACCTTGACAATCATTCTCAGGGCTGTCTCAGGTTCTTATCTCAAAGTATGTGACTAGTCTTCCCTAGTTTGCCACATGTTATCCCTCATGCCAGACTGTTATTGTGTCATGGTCGGGCAGTTCCAGGAGCCCCTTAATGAATAGGAGAGTGGTGAGCCAACATCCTGATTAAGTGAGCCCTTGAAGGTAAGAACAGGCAAGAGTTAAATTCCAACCTGAATTCTTTAACCCTTTTCTGGACTGATCAGAGCTGGTCCTCAACATCTCCCCCTTTTAATTTTTGTTGAAGCTTGAGGTGATGAATTTCTGTGGCTAGAGACTTTAACCATGACTTTATCAGTGCAGCTGCACACAGGAGAACAAGGCAAACTAGGATTAATAAAATTCCCCAAGAAAAAAGATGAAGTAATAAATCAGTGATATTTTTGGAAATATTTAACGAGGCCAATTTTTCTAAGATCTCTTGTGCTAAACTCTGAGGATGAATCCCTCGGAATAGACTGTCAGAAATAGCCTGGGTTACATTTGTAAGAAAAGATAAATCAGCTGCATAACTGCTATTTTGCCAAACACCTTCTAAATGATTCTTTATACTATCCCAAAGTACTATACTAGAGTTATAAGCTATAGGAGTAACACATATCATAGTAAAACGATAATCACATTTCAATTTTGCTCTAAATTCTGATACTGCAAGTTCATCTCCAATATATAGCACAGATTGCTCTAACAGATTAACTTTATATGATAAATCCCTATCAATAGCTTCTTGAGCTCATAAGGCTAAGCTAATATTTTTTGCAAGCTCATTTACAAATCGTGCATCTTGTATCTCTGACTGCAATGCAATAGAAGACAGGGAGAATATAATAATTAAGGAAGCAACAGAAATTAATCTGGTAATGAGAAACCCAACAAATCTTTTTCACCTGTGTAGTGATGATGAGATGAGTTGAAGGGCATGTTCCCTAGAAGATTGGAACCATTCATGACAAAGGTTAGTGGGAAAAAACAGCAAAGGATGGTTGCTCAACCAATAGAACAATTTTGTCATTTCGATCAATACATTGCTCGGTAATACAATTAAGACAGGTTACATTCCATTCTAAAGTACTGGATTGTGTCAAGTTCACAAATCCAGGTTCTAAACTATTGGAGAAGGAGGAAGCTATCTTAAATGCTTGTGGGGTTTTATACAAGCTTTAAAGGAAAGTAAGTCCAATGCTGGTCACAATGTCCATATGATGGCTGGGAAGAGAGCAGGGGAATCATTGCAAGTCTTTTCTTTCTCTTCATAGTTCACTTCTGTTTCTGCTGCAGGTTCAATTCCTTCATCTCGGCAGTGAGTAATAGAATAGGTTCGAACATTTTTCTCTGGAATCCAGACAGATTTATCAAAGGTTTCTGGAAAGACACAAACATACCCTTGCCCTCAGGTTAATAATGGATCTAGATCTTCCCACTTCCCTGTAAGTGGGTCCTTCCACATAACTCTGGCTTCAGGAAACCTGCGTTTTTGAAAGTGTTTTTCTGCAGGTGTAGTCCCATCTTTATTGACTTTCAAAAAATTTAAGGTATATAAAACTTGGGCTAATTGTCTGGAGGTGGTAGTAGTCCACACTCCCCCCCCCCTTTTTTTTCACTAAGGCTTGACCTGTAGGATTGTATGGTATTCCTGTAATTAAAGTAAGATTTTAATATGAACAAAAAGAGAAAAAAGAAGAACTGATATAAGCAGGAACATTATCAGTTTTTAATTGTTTTGGAATGCCCAAACAAGTGAAAGAGAGAAGCATATCATTAATAATATGTTTGGTAGCTTCTCCAGATTGTGGGGAAGCAAAGGTGAATGAAAAAATAAGTATCTACTGTAACATGTACTTAAAACAGTTTCCCAAAAGAGGATACATGAGTTACGTCCATTTGCCAATTGTGGTTGGGTTGTAAACCCTTAGGATTTATAGTAGTAGAGGAAGGAGTTGAATATATAACACATTGAGAAGAGCTTTTAACTATTTTTTTGTCTTGTTCTCTAGTAATTTGAAATTGTCCATGGAGTGTGTTAGCATTTTGATGAAACTAAGTATGGGCATCAATAGCCTTTTGAATTTG